TTTATGGTTGCTGAGAAACACTTGTTTGTATTACCGTGTACCATCATTTCTGAGAAATTAACGAGGTGATTACTAATGAAATGCGCTATTTGCCATTATCGCTTCGTTGTGTGTCTGCCCTCCTTGAAGACCCAGAGCCGTTGCCCTTTTTTGTTATTAAATGAGTTCTTCCAGGAAGAATGGACAATTTATAAAAGGTCAGAACATCCTAAATGTTCAGTTAAAGTTTATGTCTGTGCAAAATAAAAAAAACCTATATGCAGTACATCTCTGTAGTACACACAGGTATATATCCACATGTTTTATCCCTACATAGAACCTGCAACTACAGAATAATACCAGTTGATCTGCCTGGAACCCAGCATTGTCCAAGCTTTGGTTTGTGACAGAAAACCCAATAATTTATGTTAACCCCGCCCAGTTCTCTCCTGACTGATTACAGAACATCTCCCTCTCCCCTCCATTACATAAGGGAGAGGCATTCTGTGGTCGTCAGAGAAGAACCAGACAGAGATTATAACACTGCTTGGAGTGCAGCAGAGTGCATGGGCGGTTACAGGCGCACTGGATTTCTGGCAGGGGCAACAAGTAGGGATGCCCCGATACCACTTTTTCAGGACCAATTACAAGTACTTCCCCTCATGTACTTGCCGATACCAATTACCGATACTTTTTCTTAAAGGGACAGGTAACTTTAAATGATCTATAGTACTACTACATGTTATGTACTATGGATCATGATTTAACCTATTCATGTTAGCAGGGGATAATTGTAAATCTACTGCTGTAGTGTAGTGGACGTGTGTGCTGTATATATGTACTACATATACATTACACACGTCCAGTACACTATAGCAATAGTTTTACAGCCAGCCCTGTCCCAGCTTTCCTCACTCACAGTTTCACTCCGATCCCTGTTGCCTCACGAGGTGCCTCTTGTAGTCGGCGCTGGGCAAGATCGCTGCATCGCGTCTCGGTGCTCAGCTTGTGGGAGGCGCTCACAATTCTGCCCTGCTAACATGAATATGTTAAATCATGATCCATAGTACATAATAGTACATGATATGTAGTTGTAGTACGGATCATTTAACCCATTCAGATTAGCAGAATTGTAAATCTATTGCTGCAGAGCATTCTATATGTACTGTATATGTACAGTACATATAGAATGCACTGCTGTAGTAGATCACACACAAAACTAAGCCCAGGTCCCGTCTTACTCACTGTTGCCTCGATTGCGGTGCCTCACGAGTTGGAGAGGAGCGTTGCATCACTGCTGCTCCGGTGGGCGGTGCTCCAGGTGGGGTCCTAATTTAGGTGTGCTGGCAACTGCCTGGAGCGCCGCCCACCGGAGCAGCAGTGACGCGACGCTTGGCGCGACGTAAGTAAAAAAAAAGAAGTGACCGCCTCTCCAGCCCTGCCGCACAGCCGCCCGTACATGCTGTGGGTGGCAGAGCGGTGGGGAAGGAGCGGCACTATCTCGGGGGGGGTCCTGTTCTTCCTCTCTGGGCTCCCCCTAACAGGAGGAACGCCAGGGCCCAGTCACAATCGCGACCACTGCGTCCCTGGTAGTGCCGCCAGTGCTGGAATTTGTAGTCCTGTATAGCTGGTGGTATTCTGCGTTCCTGTATAATCATTATACAGTTATGCAGAATACCAGTTATGCAAAAGTCAACGGGCGACATCACCCGTTGACTTGGTTGGTTCTACTATCCATAGCTCCTGGATCTTCACCCTACCACCATAGAGCTTTACTCCTTCTGCTCTGTTACCCTGACTGCAAAATAGATAAGTAATCCAATGAACGCAGTGGATTTTCCATATATATCTGATATGATTCATACTTGTACATACATTAACAGTGTGAATAAGGGTCAGGGGCAGAATTTTCAATATAAAGCTAAGATCAAGAACATGGAGACATGACCTCAAACTAGTAGGAGGAAAGTTAAAAAACAACCTTGGAAAGTATTATTTTACCTAAAGACTAGTTGATGCTTGGAGCAGGCTTCCAGCAGAAGTAGTAAGACAGTCTTAGCTAAGTGAAATTAAACTTGCTTGGGACAAACAAACATCTACAGTATACTCATACAAAAAGGTTAAAAATTATCAAGAAAAGGGCAGGCTCGATGAACCACTTGGTCTTTTTCTGCCATCACTCTTCTATGTTTCTATTTGTGAGAAATTGAAACAGTTGGCAAACATCAAAGCAATAGGACATAAAAACAGCCACAGCACATTTGTGCTGTCACTTGTTTTATGCTTTAATGCCTTGATTCAATAAAGAAGTTTTTCTGAGGGATCTGAAATGATGTGCCAACTGTTTCAAGTTGTTCTATATGGAGGGCTCATAGGAACCATGTGTAAGCCCCAGTGTTCCATGCAGTACAGAAGATAGATCATTTTCTATTTGGGAGTCTTGCATCAACCTGGATTCTTAAAGTTTATGGAACTTTTGTATGTGTGGGCACTTTTTTTTATTGCTTTATGTGTCTCCTCTGCCATATTTGTCTTAATGCCAGGACAGAGTGAGCGAAAATCCACAATTTTCATTTGCCACAAGAACAGCTGTAGGGGGGAAATTCTTCCAATGGGGATACTTGTTCCAGTGACAGCTGTCCATGAGGAAAGATTTCCTCTCACTTCCTTATGTGTGTACGGAACAGGAAGTAAAGGAAAACCTCCTCCATAACACACAAATGGCAACACAAACCTGACAGGGTTTTAATCTTTCACTACTACATCCAAAATGGAAAAAAAAAAAACCTGTTGTGGCTTTATGTATAAACACGTATTTGTGTTTTTCCACCTCATAGAAACTATTGTTAAAGACATGATGGATCATTTCAACAGCTGGACCATTCCCAAAACTCGTGTTCAGCTAATTTTAGTCAAAACATATATAACTGCCTTAGCTTGTGTGTAACCTTAGAAATCTGGCAGGAAATCATAGAGCCATCTGCTGGTATTTAGTCCAGGGACTGAAGAGCTTGCATAGCTGCAGATATATAAAATGTTGTAGAAAGAGTCTGCATCTTTAGGGTGCAGGACCTCCCTCATACTGGCAAATCTTTACATACCTACAGTTGTAAAAGAAGTAAAAGAAATATATTTATTCCAATTTTTAAATGTGATGCACTTGCGTATTCATGTATTCCTTGCATATTTTTCATAAAAGTAATTGTAACCGATAATTGGCAGGAGCTTCCAAACACAGAATGAATAAGTTCAATTCACAATGCTGATACATCAGATAAGTAACCCCATTTTTCAGTTATTTTTAACTGAGTTCAATGAGATTTGAAAAGTACACATGGCTGAAAATAAAGATCCTTATCCTTGTATAAAGTTTCTTGAATTGGGTCTTTTACATGTTAATAAAATGTACATGAAGATAATTAGTCAGTTTGCAGACACTTAGATCGTTGTAATTACCACCAGCAAGCCACCTTTAGGCCCCCTTACAACTCTGCAGTGCATTGTGTTACTGCAAGCATATTAATATGCAGTATTATGTGCATTAACATGCATACTTTTTGATAAGCTGCCGTTGTACAACAACATGCCATAAAAAGGCCATGTTTCTTTTTCTGTGGAGCACAACACACAGATGGTTCCCATTTGTATGTTGTGGTGTGCTGCAACACACATGAATGGGAGTGCATTTGCAAGGTGCGATGAGATGCCATTCAAAAGGATTGGCACAGAAGTGTTGATCGTGCATTACTGTGCCATTCTCTTATGAGTCATGGAACTATGGAAGAGTATTGTGCCAGTTGACCAGCCACTGGTTGATTCAGTTGTTCCTTGAGGTACAGTAAGACGTTTTATTATGACAGTATTACTATGTACAGTGTAACTGTAGTGCATATTTCTCACACGGAACGATGTGGTTAAAGATAGAGAATAACATTTAAGCTTAACTTGTTTAGAATTTTATTATGAAGGTAACCTGAATTTCTTGGTAGTTTTATCTCATCTCCCCATCCATAAAACATTCCTATGAGAGGGAGACTCTGGCTGTGTATTCAGCTTCTATGTGCAGGGTTTAGCAGTCATACTGTCAAGAGTGGCCAGCCATGATTCCCTTGCTTCCCATGTCGTGGTGCCTTCTTAGTGCTGGGCATGCTGCTCCCACATGCTTTCCAATTGCAGCATGAAAGCCTGCTGTAATCCCGGTTTTCTTCACTGTTTCTGTGACATCACCTAACACTGGGCCGCATATCAGCTCAATGTAAATAGGTTCCTCTCTGACGTTCATCCCGTGCATCCATTAGCTTGATCTGCTCTTCTGGTTATGAATTGTTTTTTCTCCTGGTTCCCCATTTACTAACCTTCTTTGCTGATAGCTTGGATTGTCTTCTGATTTCACGCTATTAGCCACAATACTTTATCTTCTGCCATTACAGGAACTACATCTGACTGCCACTTACCTGACCACCAGCAATGCTTTGACACAAGTCCTGACCCTGGCTTGTTTTGAAGCTGTGGTTCTGGGTTGGCTGTCACCTTTGGGCCATAATCGAGGACTGTGATATAAGGTTTCAAAATAATCCAGTTTAAATTTCCTGGCTGGAGTAGCCAGTGAAGACAGGACACTTCTTAGTTTTGGCACCCTAGTATGAGATCATATATTCCACTAGTGACATAAAGGATCCCTCTATGACATCTTAGTACAACAGAGAAGATTGACATGCAGAGAGTCTCATTACAGTTTAACATTCCAGCACACTAATAAACCATCTATGCATATTGGGCCAGGGGATCTACAGTATTTACAGATCTTTGTAACAACATATTGAGTATAGTTCTTCTTAAAGTGACACAAGATAGAAATTACTTACACCTGACAGTATTTCTTGAACATCTATTATCATAAAGAAAAACAAACTGTTATATGTAAAAGTGAACAACACATTGATATATCTGTGTTCACAGTATTTACCTACAGATAAATGTTAGAAATAAACGTAATGAAATGACTTACTTTTATCTGACAGGGTAATGCATGATGAAGTTAGTGACACAGAGAACATTAGGAAAAACCTGTCTATTGAAAGGATGATTGTGGAAGGCTGTGATATATTACTAGACACAAGCCAGACATTCGTACGCCAAGGTAAGCAGTTTCTGTGCTGGGTAATATTTTCATATTGTATTACTTATTTGCTTAAAAGTGATGTAAATCTGCCTTAGTAAAGATATATGTTCTTGGTGCCCAACTATATTGTCATGACATATGTTTATATTACCTGTGAAATCCAAGGCTTTGTATTTGAAATTACCTGCAGCTTTCCCTGCTGACAGCCCATGCAAGGCTCCAGTGGAATGTCTGTGGCCTCTGTGTGCAGAAGACTCTGTGAGTTGGAACACTGCAGCCACGGGCCCATAAACACCACCTCATATCCACATCTTATCACACCTACAGTATCTCACATCCGCTGCACCTCACATCCGCAGCATTTCACATCCACAGCATCTCACATCCGCAGCATCTCACATCCGCAGCATCTCACATCCTCAGCATCTCACATCCTAAGCATCTCACATCCACAGCATCTCAGATCCACGACACCTCACATCCACAGCATCTCACATCCACAGCATCTCACATCTACAACATCTCACATCTATAGCACCTCACATCCACAGCATCTCACATCTACAACATCTCACATCTATAGCACCTCACATCCACAGCATCTCACATCTACAACATCTCACATCTACAGCACCTCACTGCCACAGCATCTCACTGCCACAGCATCTCACAGCCACAGCATCTTACAGCCACAGCATCTTACAGCTGCAGTATCTCACAGCAACAACATCTCATACCCACAGCATGTCACATCGCTTTGTCCCGATCTTTAATATAATGCGTCTGATTCGTAACTACTAGGTGCATGATCTAAGTGCAAATTCCTAAAACATCTCCCACCAGGGAAGCACTGATAGCAGCAGATATCTCTATAACCATTAACACCAGAGCACACATGGAAGTGTTCACCAATTTCCAAAGCTTTAGGTGAAAGGTGATTGGTGATACATGGCTTGGCCATGCAGGACACCGAGCGGTTGTACAATGTGTACAGTGCACGCAAAAACGCAGAAAAAATGCTTCAAAGGCCTCTGAAAGTGCTCACTCTCAAGTGTGCATGGGGACTTAAATATTTTTACTATTTTGTTTTTCAAGCTGACAATAACATAGCTGTGTTACAGGAAAAAATGAATGGTGAAGGCCATAGTTCAGCATAGCATACAACAACTGTCCTGTTTTTAAATAACAAGCCCTGTTTTATTTCAGGTACCCTTATCCAGGTGCCCTCGGTGGAGAGAGGGAAACTAAGTAAAGTACGCCTGGGACCTCTATCTTTGAAGAGAGAAGGGGAAAGACAATGCTTTCTGTTCACGAAACATTTCTTAATATGCACTAGAAGCTCAGGGGGAAAACTGCATTTACTCAAGGTACGATATGTTTTCAAATTACGCAGCAGACCTTTATTTACCATAGTGTTTACATTTTGATTCATATATGTAAGGGCTTGTTCACACGATTTTCCGGTCCGAATCTGGTGCGGATCTGCAGACGCGGTGCTCTGCATGCAGTGCATTTTGGACGCGTTTTTTATGCAGCATACTGACAGCTGTGGGGCTGTCAGTATGCAGATTCTTCCTCTAAGGTCACTTCCGCCCTCTCGTAACAACCAATTCCCTTTGTGTGTTACAGTGGATAACATGACCAGCTGTATTTGGATAACATGACCGGGATACAGTGGCTAGCATGATCAGCATACAGTTAGTCAACATACAAGATATGTGTAATCACTCCCCACATTCATTCTTTTGGACATTTTTTACAATGCGAATTCAGCAAACAGCTCTGAGGCTATTTCTCTCCAGTTTTGATTTTTTATATGCACATTTTTGAAATGTGGATGACAAGGGTTGTATAGTATTGGCACACGCTCCATCAATCCGACAAACCTTTCCATGTCCAGGACCATGTTGTTCATGCCTACTGGTTTTCCCTCTACTGCTCCACCACAACCAGAAAGTCCAACAATGACGACATCATGAAAAGTGTAGAAAGAATATTTTTTTTTTTTTGCTAAGCTGCAGTGCGGTCCGTTATTTAACGCGTTTTCTGCGCATTTTCGTTGTGTTTTTGACGCGTTTGTGCGTTTCCTGAACAGGAAAAAATGTGGCATGCAGTATTTTTTCGTGAATTGAACGGACTGCGCACGTGAGAACTGTAGCCCATAAAACACATAGGGATACATTGGGATGCATTTTTAGTGCAGGAGTGCACGGATCTGGTCAGGACAGAATCCGGACGTCGTGTGAACAAGCCCTAAAGCCTATGGGGCATATACAAGAACAGTGTTATGTAGGCAGCCCAGTGCAGGTGCTGAAACCTTCTATCAATGACAATGTTCACTTCCAGCACTTTGCTCAGGATCTGATCTTCTCCATTCTTTAGTGTGGGATCGCGCTTAATGAGCATGCTCTATAATGTCAAGTTGCTAAGGAGATGCTGTGATGTCTCTTCAATATTATCATTGTACTTCCTAAAGTCTGTGGGCTGGTCAAGAGAGGTAGGCAGAGTTGAAGCTACAGCAATATAGTAATATAAATCTACTGCTTGTGAGCTTTAGGTCTTTATTACCATTGATCTGTTGCTGCAGATATGCATGGGTGGGCTAGTTCAATGCCACATGGTCCATCCAGGCTATAATAAAAAATTATACATCTCAGCTACCTACAGAGCAACACAAAATGGCGTCAGGCACTCTTACTGTTATTTATAAATGAATAAATTATGCATTATTCTCACAATAATTACATTTGTTGTTGTGAAGTATTTTTTGTCATAGCACTGGAGGAAATAAGGAATTAGACACACTTGCTTATGTTACTAAAGTAGACATAAACCCTAACTGGATTACATTTGATTTGCAGCTCAGTGCTGCTGGTCTCCTGCAATCTCTTTGCAGCTGCCTCCTGTCTACATGCATGCACTCCAGCGATGGCTGCATGTCACCTGGATGGAATATCCGATGGTGACAGTGGCAGAACATGCTTGCACATCAAGCATCAGCACAGGCACTTGTAGTCTACATCAGGAGCTTATGTGACAGGGTGACAGCACAGGAGAGCAATTGGGAGCCAGGAAGTGCCTTAACAAGGATCCCCAGGGCAGGATCGCCAGGTATTATTTTAAGAAAAGCTGCAGATTTAAAAAAATTGGAAACTAGTTTTGAAATGGCTAATATTGAGATTTTAATAATAGGGTTTCCATCTGCTTCAATCCTAGTGCTGTATCACCATTGTATCATTTTGTTTTGTTATATACTTTTATTGATATTGTCAGTGTCACATGTTCAAGCAAGTTTTTTTTTTTGGTAAAGTAAAATTCTGGCCAGATATCTACATACACAATTAAAAACAAGAATATCCTGTTGTACCTGCCAAAGGTTTTGCAAATCTGTTCAGCCAGTCTTGTCAATTGACATGCTGTGGATGTGAGATGCTATGGATGTAAGATATTGATACTGCACAGCCAGGGAGGTTATCTTACTATTTCCTGGTTCAGATTTGTAGCATCCGGTGTCACTTTTCCACCTCCAGTCTTCTCACTGCACAACTAATCTATTGAGGAGAACTGGAAGCTGTGAAGTTGAATCAGGAAATAGTAAATCACAGGATCACAGGAATGACTGAGCAGATTGGGAAGGTAAAACACAGTTATTGTATATGTATTTGAAATCTGCAGCTCTTTGTCTGGAGTTCGTCTATAACACAGATGGTGTTCCTTAGTTTCTGTCAGAACAATTTCTTCTCTATTTTACTTTTCAGCCTAAAATGTATGTAGAAGAATGATATGCAGCCATGTGTATTGCAATGCAATGTCAAATGGGGAAGAAAAGCGATCCAACCTCAATTAGGGCCATTCGTCTTTTGCCGCTGGGACTTTGGTGCGCTGCATAAGAGCACTTATTTAGTATCCTTATACTCAGAGCAACTTGACAATTACATTGTAGGGTAAACATCAGGAAAAGTAGCATTGGGAACAATCACAAGAATTACTTGTATCTCATTTGTCCCTGTTACTTCCTAATTAAAACCTATAAAATAAAGTTGTATTTATTCAGGTCTGCTAGCAAATGAAATCCTTATTTCCAAACAAAAAGTATATTTAGTTCAGGCTACAAAGGTAAACTGTTACTCCTGCATCTCTGAAAGAAAGTAGTTCTTATCTATAAATGGTATAAAGCAGCGGTAGGCAAACTCCGGCCCTCTAGCTGGTGTGAAACTACAAATCCCATTATGCTCTGGAAGTCAAGAGCCTTGCTACCTTTTTTGCTTGTAGGTTCTGTCAAGAGAACCTACAAATCCTTTTGGGATTTGTAGGTTCACCAGAGCTGGAGGGGTGCAGTTTGTCTACCCCTGGGATAAAGCATCCAGTCATGACATTTGTGAAATGTCATGACTGCACAAGTTCTGCAGAAAGGAGGAGAATGGGTTATGGCTATTTAATTGCCTGTGGAGCTTTTATAGCGTTCTGCCAGCATTAGGTTACATGCTTCTCCCTTTTTGTGGCAGATGTACATTGTTCTGTACCTACTGCATCATCACAAAGAAAAAAAAAATCTATAGCTAGGGATGCATCAATATATCGTCCGCCAAAACATATCGTCCGAAAATGGCACTTTTGGCAAAGTGCCATTTTCTGGCCGAAATAGCGGTGCATCCACTCTTTCTCTCCTCCCCGCTGGGCGCTGCTCTGCGTGCCAGCGGGAGGAGAGATACTCACAGGCGGCCGAGCGGTGCGGGAGGAGAGCTGAGTGTTTGTAGATAATTGAGGACAGAGTATGGTTACTATATCCTCAATTATGAATGAATCGGAAATAATCTACATCACCTCCTGTTCATTCATGATTGAGGATATAGTAAACACAATATATCCACATGTTATGCATGAACAGGAACACTCGGTATAGAGGATTCCTGCTCATTTATAACAGGGGCTGCAGAAAATGTACATCCCTGTACGTCTCCAAACCACCATTGTTAGAATAGGAGAAGAAAAGAGAATGGAATTAGAAAGAAAACACGTTAAGATAAGGGGAGGGGTGGGGGCATTTAATGTATTTTTCTAATGCAAACAGTGTAAGTACTTGAATTCGACCTGCTAATGCAAGGAGACAATCAATTCATGCGCTCCAAGAAGCATCCTGATAGGAGGATAAAGCAGAGTGACAGAGAGATGAGGTCATCACGGTGCTGCTTCTCCTATAAATGTCCAGTCACAGGCTGGGGCAGGTCCAGGATGAGCTGGGCTCAGAGGAAGTGGGTTGAATAATGCTAGCCATCAGAATGAGGATATGTCACACAAACATTAAATCTCTGGATTTAAGGTGAATATTGCAACAAATTATCTTTTTTTCATGTTGGCTGAAGTTCTGCTTTAAAACAGCTGTTTGTAGGAACAAAGGGAAATTCCATTGCAGTTAACGGAAAAGCTAAACTAAAGACTGGCATGAGGCAGATAACAAATAATACAAATACAAATAATAACAATTTGGCAATAGTTTTATTTTCTTACCTTCATTTACAAGTTAGTTAATCTTCAAATATTTGTGCACAGTACGTGCTTACATTTGTTGTTGGAAGGATCCTAAGCAGAATTGTTGTTTATTGTTTGTCATTTTTATACTAGATTGTGTGAATACAACCTTTTGATTTCCATGTAGTGATCCATAGTGAAGGTCAGACTGCCACATACATTTGCGTGTCTCCGATTGTGAGATTGTTTTAACATTTGATTTTCCCAAATGTCAAATGGAAACAGACTCACGGGCAGCATTTGTTCCTATTTTGTTCTCTCCCTGCCCATAAGCTGATACTTTGTCTCAGTTATGTTCTGTTGATAAGTTCTTCTTTGGTTTATATCCAGGATTGGTAGGGTGATATCAGTGATACCCTGAGGAGTTTGTGGAGGGGCTGTGGCCCTATTATAATTATTTTTGTTCTGCCAGATGTTCCATTAATGTTTGTTTTGCACAGTAGGTTGAATGAGGATTGCCAAATGGTCTTCTTGTGCCCGTCCTATTCTTTTTTTTTTTAAATAAATTCTTTATTTCAAGTTTTCAAATTTTTTAAACCGGAAATTGTACCCATATGGACTCGCAGGTCTGGATACGAAAAGGACATTTAGAACATGACATAGGCAAGGAGTCAGCATATAGGGTACAGTAAAAACAATAAGATCCCTGTTAGTGTCATTGGAGCACACACGCATGGGGGGTACCCTCTCACGGAGACCCAAAGGTACAGACGCTGGTCGAGATTGCATCCCAGCGTGTATGTGTTTCCATATATTCTACAAGGTGCATAGGTGGTATAGACCATGACTATCGCCTACGGGGTGGCGCAGCCCCTGCCGACCCGCCGCTTAGGTTGGC